TTTTTCCCAAGTGCTCTCTCTTGGATACACCATGTGTAAAGGAGTTCTTAACATGGGATGTATATTCCCATCAGTGCACCAATGGCAGTTTTTAAAGAGAAGCTTTCTCAAATTTAAGCAAAGTTGAGGTCAGCTGGATGATTCTGAAAGTCTGCTTGCTATAGGAAAATTGAGTCCAAAGGCATTCGTCTAAATCACCACTACCCTCCTCACTCTTGTAAAATATAAGCAATTGGTAACGCTCGTTATAGCAAGCATATTATTTTTAAGTCAGATTTCTGGTGGCGTGTTCTTATGAACGTACTGTAATCTTGTAGCACAACGAGGGCTTATGTGCAGAGTGTCACTTCACTATATCACGATGGAGGTTATAATACAGAGGTATGTACAACATTATCACACCTTGATTTATTTGATGCTAAGTTCTTGATACGGAGAACAGTATTTTAAATTTTGATCCTTTCAGCCTGTTCACAGACCCTCTACAGTGGTGAGTCATCTTCTAAAAGTTAGAGGCTCCACATTGGTGCTTAGTTAGTCCTAAAGCTCACGGGTTTTGGAGAGGGTACTGATTGTCTCAGCGACACAGGGCAGAAAAGGAAGTGAATTTGGAACTTAAAACAATTGGGACACCACCTGTATCTCAACAATGGAAAAAGAGTGCTGAGCCTTCTCTGGGTCTGGACGGCCAGGGGCTTCACCACCATGCACATTCACTATTAGCTGATGCTGGGGTGTGACTGCCGCCATAGTGCTTTTCTTTCTGATGAGCCTTTGCTTACAGAACCTAAACAACCCTGACTCTCAGAGTAGCTGTTAATTCTGGACGAGGTGATTTCCTGTATTTGGCTTTGTCTGTTTGGAAAGAGCTTTGTAAGTGTAGTAGTGTGGGCACCAATTAGTTTAGGAGTTTCTCCTTAAATGTAGAAACATGGGGACAACGTATCAGGCCTTTCTTTTGGTCTGTTATAAATCACAGCTGGCCCCGTCAAGAAGTATCAATTCTTTGACTGTGAGCTTCTACAATTCTATGTAAGAAATTCCTGATTGTGACAAAGACAGAGGATGGGGAGCTCTGCAGTGTAAGCACAGTGCCTTCATTGTGCTGCTGGTCTCTTGGGAATTTTATTATTTACTTATTTTTGTCTTGGGAATTTTAAATCTTAAAACTACAACACAATAGGTAAAAAGGAGGCTTTAATAATCTCTTGGGTTCATTAAGAAACTAAGTGAAAAGAAGAAATCTATGTTTGGTTTCCGCACCTGCTTCTTTAAAACAACTCAGGTTCCATACGAATAATTTACTGTAAGGTAGAATGAAAGTTATTCTGCATGTGACTACCAAGCGGTGGGCTGACAACCAAAGGCCTAATTTATTGCAGTTTCAAGATGGAGGCTATTACATTATTTTGCTTTCTTTTTAATCATCCCACCCTGAATGACAGATTTTTATTTTTTAAATGAGGCAGAAGGAGTTGAGCTTGTTGAAGCTGAATCAGACCTAAATTGGAATACCATAAAACTAAGTCCAAAGGCGTGAAAGCTGAAAGCAGCCCCTCAAGAGTATCTATGTGAGTTACCAATAATTAAGACAGTTCAATATCTGATTAAATAAGGCTGGTGTAGTAGTTTGGGCAAGTTGGTTGTCCACTGGGGGTCTTATTTTGTAGATATAAGGAGGTCTAAAATTATATATGCCAAAGGTACATATACCTTCAGAGCCCTTTTCTTGTTTTGGTACCATTCCTACCTCCCTCAGGGGACATCCACCATTCGGAAGACAAAAGAGACTGTACAAACTTTGCCTTACAAAGCAGTGTAAGTTGACCTGTTTCAGAATGGTGAGGTGACTTCGTATACCTGGCAACACATGCTCCCCGTGGTTCACTGCCGATAGTCGCTCGCGTCACTGGAGGACAAGCCTCCCACAGGTTTTTCCTCCTTGTTTTGGACACTTTCTGAGGCCAAGACCTGAGCAGGCGATGTGACTCCTCGGGGCTGTTTGGTCGACTTGGTGAGCTTCTTGAGTTCACTTGCAAAAGAAATGCCTTTTCTTTTGTCTTCTCGGGATGCCTGTGGAATAAAGGAACTCGCCACTGGTACTATTGATAGGTTAAAGCCAAGGCTCTCCAGTCACCTGACATGGTCTCAAAAAGAGCCCTTCCCTCTTCTGTGAGCAGAGCTTTGGAAAGAAGGGCTGAGGGACTCCCTTCTCAGGACTGCTTAACCAGAGGGGCATACTTTTATCTTCCCACAGTGAAAACAAAGCCAAACAAGTTTCTCTCCCCTAAATTCCTTGACTCAGAAAGCTTGTCCTAGATTTCACTATCTCCCAAATTTGACTACAACGTCGTTATGAATAATTTGTGAAGAGAGTAAAATAACCACGACTTTTACCTGCACCTGCTCCTTCAGCTTCAGGATGAATTTTCCTGCACCTTTCCATTTGCTTTGGGCTTGAAACACACACTCCTGATCCAAAAGGACCCGCTGAGAGGACTTCGCGTTGGAAGCCTTCTTGTTGGAAGCGTCTTTCACCACCTCTTCCAGAAGCACATAGTCGCTGGGATTGGGGTTGCTCAGGATGCTGTAGGAGTATTTGGCTTTGCACAAGGTCTGAAAGCGGAATCAGGATAAAAATGAATCAAGGCTGTGTCTCCAACACCCGCATCCCTCGTAAGTGAAACTTGAAGGTGGAAAACTCATACACTTTCAGAGATGGAGGGGCTTTTTCAGATCTTGTCATCCCACGCCTTTTACATTTGGGTTTATAGTTGTAGCTTATCACGTACTTGCCTGCATTAGCTCACTTAGCTTCACGACTGTCCATGACTTAGGTATTATTATGCCCGTTTCACACTGAACACTTAAGCAGACTCCAGAGGATGCACAGCTGAGAAGTAATAATATCTGCGAGGAGTGTAATGCCTAGCACATGATAAGCACTATTTAAATGCTGTTTGCTATTATTGCATGGTAATTTGGTTAATATTAACCTCTTTAATAGGTTTTGAATTCCAAGAGTGCCCAGATGTACGTTTCTTTTGTACACTTTTGTGTTCCCAGAGTATAATACAGTATCTGGGACACAGTAGGCCCTAACTAAACATTTGATGAGTGGATAAATACATAAATGAAAGATAATCTTGTACTAAACGAGAAGTGAGACCAAGTAAATCTTAAAATGCCTTCACCATCTAAGACTCTCTGATGCAGAGGCAGCGTGGTGCAACAGAGAGGCGTCTGAGGGTCAGGATTCAGCCCCTCAGTGTCTACGTGACCTTTGTTTCTCTGAGCTTTGGTGCACGCAGACAGCCCAGTTCAAGTCTTTATTCTATACTGACTCGATCTTCACAACAGCTCTGTGAGAGAAGTACTATTATACTATCTCCATGGTATCTGTGTGGCAACTTGCCATGTAGCAGTGTGCTGGAGCCAGCTGGAGTGCGTTAGTGAAATCAGACATGGTGGGAGTATTTATACAACAGAAATCGGCAAACACTGCAAATCAGAGCTTTATTTTTTAATTTCTATTTATTTTTATTTTTTATTTTTTTAAAGAAGCCAGTTTACCAGGATACCACTATAACTAAGGCACAGATAATTAAATAACTTGCCCAGGATCTCAGAGCTAGTAAAGTAGAGCTGGGATTTCAATCTGCAGCAACTGGATCTAGTCGAGTCTGTGTTAATCATTACGCCATACCACTTCTCAAATGGGTGTTTAACAAACACAAAGCCTGACAAGGCTTCAAAGAAAGGAAAAAGAGTTCTCTGAAACTGTACACAGGGACGCATGACATAGAGGAGGGGAGAGGGTCCGGGTAGGCCTCCTGCTTGTCCTCTGATGCACCTTGAGGGACGGTCATTAGGCTTAGGCATTTCTGGGACCATGAAATTACTCTGCACAGCTGCCTCCTACATGCATTATTATTAGTGCTGCATAGAGAGCCCGACTCACAGCAGACACTAGGGAAGTATCTGTTGAAGGGATGAACTAGTATTTCCCAGCTCTAATAGGCACACTTCTCCCTTTTCAGGTCCCCATTGACCTAGAACTTCATTCATAAAATGAGCTGACATCTGATCTGTCCCACTGATTTACACTGAGGACAGGCCTGAGGGGAGGGGAGGGGCTTTGACCTGCTGAATGACATCCTGCGCCGTGCTGATGCGGGGTGCTTTGATGACTGTTCGAGGTTGTTCTGGAGAAACGTCATGCACTTGGACAAAGAAACTCTCCTCCTCGGAGCTCAGGATCACCTCCTTGTCATCCTGAACAATGCTTTTCTCTTCTAGGTTCTGTGTTATAAAAAGAACAAGTATGAGTAAGTGGTGAGATGATATAGAATAGGGTAAGAAAAATCCAACAAAAATTTGAGCGGTATCTTGGCATTGTAAAACAACTCCTTAGCTTTTTATTGCACACCCTTGTTAGTATTTCATAAACTACTCTAAGAGGACATACATGTCTTAGAGAAAGAAAGTTCTGTAAGTGTTTCTGATGATGTTCACAAACTGATAAGGTCTGGCCCAGGGCAAGCCAGTAGATCTGCTCCTATTAGCTGTGGAGTTTGAGTCCAAATCAACTGTTAGATACATTTGTAAAATGATAATATGCCATTTGGCAACTTCCAAAAGCCATATAAGAACACAGTAAATTACATGTAAGAAAAACCCCACCCATTGTCATAGAGACCTTTTCTGTATTTAAGAAATGCTAGGCATCTGAAATGTGAGACTGACATTCAGCCAGGCTAGATGAACACAATCCACAGTCAAAAGGCTAAAACTATGGCTGGAGGTAAGGCACATTGAAATGGATATTGAAAAAACAATAATTATGAGAATTGGTCATCAGGTTGATTGGCTTTCGGTGAATTGGCTTCCAGGGAATTATACAATTATATTACAATTACATATACAATTACATATGTGTGTGTGTGCGCGCGTGTGTGTGTATATGTTAGATATAGCTAGAGACGTATCTTATTAAACATTTTCTTTTTTATTAAACATTTTCAAACAGTACAGAAATATATCAATAAAAAGGCAAACTCTTCCCACTACTCACCCCTTTTCCTTCTCTCTCTCTCATCTCATTCTCCATAAAAAAAACAACAGGTTATATATCCTTCTAAACATATTTTATCGATATACAAATGTATTTTTGTGTATCTGAATAGATATATACAATGAAGCCCTGGAATTATGCGAATTTAGATAAAATGCGGTTGTCAAATGGCTCCTGTTTGCTAGCCCCATTCTCAAATGAGGGTAGTAGCTTACGGTTATCTGCACAGGGGCAGGAAAGGGAAGGAGAGGCAAAGCAAGCAAACAGGAGGCAACCCATCTGAGCAAGCGAGGATTTGGCAGGAAGGTCCTCTGATCCCCAGCATTCTCCTAGACTAATGTCCTCAGCTCAGGCCACTGCAGTGGTGCTAACTCGCCAGAAGAACCCAAGAATCGTCTCTATCCTGGCAATTCCACAGCTTTGGGACCCAGAATTGTCAGCTGCCACCAGGTGGCACTAAACTAGCCAGGCAGAAAGGACTAGCTCCTGGAGCTTCCTGCCAACCAGCCACACAGGCTCACCCCAATCATTTCATGAATCTTGCAGTCATGGCCCCTACAATTTACATGACAAGATTTTGGACCCCATTCATTATATTATGGGTGGGTGGGGGAGAGTTACTGTCTATTTGTATTACATAAAATGAGTTTGTACTTTATACCTATACTGTTCTACAACTTGTTTTTTCTCCCCAGTTAAAATATTGTGGTCATCATTTCGTGTATATTCCTATAGATTTTGCTGGATTACATGTCGTTGCATTGAACATAAAATATTTAACCTCAGAGAGTGCAGGTTGGGCGGTGATGCACATGACATAATTTTCAGGGCCCTGAAAACCAGGAAGCAAGCAAGCAAAAACCAAAAGTTCTGATTGCCACATAAAATATCCCGACAACCATGCACTTTTATTTTTAAAAGAGTTCCTTAGAAACTAAGCGGGGTGGTAGATGAGGGTAAAGGGGATCAAATATATGATGATGGAAAGAGAACTGACTTTGGGTGGTGAACACACAACGTGATATATAGATGATGTATTACAGAATTGTACACCTGAACTCTATGTAGCTTTACTAACAATTGTCACCCCAATAAACTTTAATTAAAACAGACACTCAGAGCTCATTTATTTTTAAGGACTTTTCAGCTGCAATGGAAGCCACAGTAATGACCATCACAGGATCCTCACTTGTATAGCCCTTTAGAGCTTACTCAGCATTTCCTTACGTATTGTCTACATGTTTGGCATGAGTATCATGACAATCTTTTTGAGTCCACCAGGGTAGTTTCTATTACAGATTTTGCACATTAGGGCACAGAGGTTTACAGAAGCCAGGCGTGCTGTCCAAGGTCATCTGATATGTGGCAGAGTCATGTTTGTCTGCTTTCAAATCCAGCAGATGTCGGAGGAGGGCACACTTCCCACAGGAAGATGTGATACTTGCCAGCTTGACAGGTCATAGATAGCAGTTTGGGGGCTTTTAATATATGGGCAAACTGCTTATATATCTTAGTAGTTTCACAGGGTAAAATAATTGAAAATACTTACAGCCCTAATCTAGCAACCATTCTAGTGTCTGCTTGCATTCAATAATTGCTGAGTTCATTTATCCCACCAGTAAGTATGTATTGTGTGTCACTATGCACCAGGTAAACCTAGAATTAATGTGATTTGTTATCTTTTGAGATATGTTTCAGTCATTTCAAAAAATCTCCTCCCCACAAAGGCACATAAAGGAATGTGCTGTATTCCATTCATCAGAAAATGCTTGTTTGCTTTCTCTTCTAACCCATCCCCCTTTTTCTTCAAAATGTTTCTCTTCCACCAGCCCTTATTAAACATTCAGTGCTGTCTGTTGTCATCTACATTTTAAATTGCACAGGGGCTTCTCTAACTGCCCCAGTCCATCCAACCATATGAGGAACGCCCACTTGACCGCCCGCTCACATTTTCTCCTGCTCACTGCCTCTATAGGGCTGGGTGTGGGTGACTCACGGGGACTGACACACTCCAGCCTGGGCCGCACAGGATGGTGGAAACAACACTGACCTGGAAGACATGAGACTTGAGTTCTTTCTACTTCTCACCCTGTCGTGATTTAACCTCTCTGAACCTGTTTCCTTATGTGTAGAATGGTTTCCATTATATCATGAGGTCATTCAAAAGAGTGAGTGTTTGAGAGCTGTATACACTGTAAATCATTATGCGACTGTGATTTAAAGAATTCACTGAAATGGTCACTTACAGGATACTTTTTTACATATGGCAAAGGCAATTAGAAATAGGAAAAAAAATTAGAAATTAAAGATGGCTTTCAAAAGTCCAGATAAGCCCTTTGGTATTTTTCTCATAAAGCTATTGTTATGAGCACTGCTTTTTCTCTGGTTTAGCAATTTGTATGTCTGATAGGGAGAGGAATCTGGGAGACAATTACATTTCTTTGCTTAAATGAAGTGTCATTTTATGGTCTAAGGCGAGGTTAGGAGGGAAGGCAGTGGCTCTGGTTCCCAGAGGAGATGCTGGGGTTCTCTAGAGGCTGCAGGCCATGTTCACAGTTCAGCACAGAGTGAAAAAGTAACAGATGACGCTGAAAGTGGGCCCTTTATTGTCTCCACTGTGCCCCAACAAGCAATGCCACAGATGGGCATCTGACCAGTTAAGCTCTATTACATGCCCCAAAGGAACAGATCATGTGCCCAGACCAGGGCCTGGCACATATCAGGTGCTCGATAAGTATTTACTTAATCAAATTGTTGAATGGACTCAACTACTTTGTTATTGACATATCATGAGGCATGATTGTTAAGGCTGGAGCAATGACCTTATATTTTAAATTCACCATCATTTAAAAAAAAAAGGCAGTTAAGTTAGTGTGTGCTTATTCAGAAAAAAAAAAAAAGGGTTCCATCAACAAACCCCAACAGGAGCCAACTACTCTGGAGTAGACATGGAGTCACTGCACTTGCTTCCTTCATGGGAACCATTACAGGAATATTAGTGCACAGAATGTAATTTTGGATGAATTCTGACCGAAGCTGAGAGTCTATTCTTACTTTGTGTAAAGGGATGAAATGTCAAAGAAACACTGTTGTTTTACTTATACTAAAATTTAACAGGCACTAACAGGAAGGCCACCAGCCCCTAAATGCAAAATGCCTTACAGGCTGTGCATTATACAGTTCTGTGATGCTCTCAAAAATGTCTTCTCACACATACAAATAAAAGACTGGACAAGCAGCTGAGGACGTGTATAAAGAATCCTTTGAATGTTTGCTGGCCTTGTTTTAGAAGGGATGGTTTTTAGCATGAATTTCTGTAACTTAGAGATAACGTTCTGAATATGTGCAGAAGAATCAAATCATCTCTCCACATTTACTTAAGAAGAACAATATAAAGCAAGTTGGAATGATAAGAAATTCTGAATTTGAGGGAGGTGACCAGTGGGGAGGTGGTTAATTATAATACATCCGGAGCTGTTACTGTGTAGGCTGCATCCAGACACACTTACTTCCTGCTGGGTTTTTAAGACAATTCTGCCAACATATCCCTCTTCTGGAAACCAGCTGCTTAAAATCTGCATGACCTCTTCTTCTGGACCAATGACTCTATGGAATGGTTGTTTTCTGCATTCGTTCTTTTCTTTAGATATAAAATATTTTTCTTCCATTAGGAAATAGTCTGTGACAAGAGGTTTGGTGTCTTGTTCAGTAGTCAGAATCTGAAGATAAAACAAAGGCAAATTTAGCATATTCTGAGGAGCAGGCAAAAACTGTAATTTAAAACAAGTCTATTTTCATGGTGTTCAGAGAGCTCTGAGGTGCCATTTATAAGTGAAACCTACTCTGGAGTGTTGCATAATTCGTTTTAGAAGGTCTAAGGATTCTCTTATGTCCAAAAGGATTGTGTATGTCCATTCCGGACAAGGAAACAATTTATTCATAAATCCCAGAAAAACTATTTTTCTTTTTTTTTAGCTGAGCCATCCTGCCACCTGTTGGTGGCTCAGCGGCAGCTCACTTGGGCCATGAATGGAACCGGCAACCCTGTTGCTCAGAGCTCGCACTCTTGAGCGAGCTCTTAACCAACTGAGCCACTCGGCCAGCAGCATAACTATTTTTCCCACTGTTGGAATGAGAGCTCCTACTGAATTAACACCTTTAGGTTTTTCAAACTATGAATTTAGCTTCTTGTAATCTTGTAACACAGGACTGAGGGCAAAGAACCTGCCTGTCCAGCCTTTCCCAAGATAATCTCTCAATCATCTTCTAATCTCATTTGATTGAAGTTCCTGGGAGTTCTCCCTTCAATAAACTCTTGACAGTGTGCCCAGAGGCCTGTTTTCTTTGTTGGCTACTTATCCTGACAGTCAAACAGAGCGGTTGAGACGAGGCTTAAGAGCCAGGCAGACCTGGGTCTGAGATCTGCCTTTAATACTTACTGGCTGTGAGGTGTTGGACTAGACATTTAACCCTTTGGAGGTTCAGTTCCTCCTCTATGAAATGGGAACAGTAAGAGTTATGAGGGGAAGCAGAGTTTGCCACCCAAAATATGCCTTTTGGGATAGTGATTATTTTAGGCTGGTTATTTTCAAGAAACAAATGACTCAGACAAATTTTAACCTTCCCCGTTACTGCCTCAAAGAACTTAGATAGGACCAACTCCAGGAAGGGAGATATCACAGATAACTATAGGTTCCTATGAACTAGGTGTGAACTGAGCAAGGCCTTTTTGATCACAAAGTCCTCTCTGTGTCTCATTGGTAAAGATGTCCCATCAAATATTTATTTACCAAACATCTGCTTTTCCATCTGCATGTGAATTGCCTTCCTGCCCTGTGAAGTCCCACACCACAGACTCCCCTTCTCTTTAGCTCAAGAGGGCATAGAAGCATTAACTGTCCCATCTGTCCTTGGGTCTCATATTCTTATGGAACCCCCGTAGGGACACACATAATACATTTGGTTATTTTCTCCTGTTAATCTGTCTCATGTTAATTTGATTATTAGTCCAGCCGGAGCAATTTAGAAGGTAGGAGGAAAATTATTTTTCCACCCCGACAGTAACAACCTCTTAGTGTTCTTTTGTTTTATGATTGAGGCACTGGTTATAAAGCATAACGGGCACACTGTGAGAACTCAGTAAACACTAGTCGTCATTATAGTTACTTTTACTGATGTATTCTTTCACTCTTACTGTATGGGTTACTGACAAAGGCTAAACTCGAAGTGGGTGATGAGAGAAGGCTGGTACCATCTGGCCTGGATTAAACAAACACCCTTCTCCTCAACACCTGGCACTGCTGTGTATCACTTGGAGAATGGTGGAGGCAGCAGGTTCTCAGGATGACCCTGCTCCCCTCACCTCAGCCCTTGGTCTGTAATCAATGCTGGGCTCTGGATTCCATGGGGTAAGATAACCATGGGGCAAGACAACTATGACTACAGGATAACTGAGGACACGAAGCTTCCAGGAGTAGGTCTGTTGGCATTGTCACCTCCATGAGGGGCCAGTGTCCCTCCTCCTTAGTCCTGCTTTACATCCATATGGTTGTTCGCGTGGGGTGACAACAAAGTAATGAGCTGCTTTTAATGGGTCGTCCATGGAAATGTTCCTTTGCTTTATGTCTTCACATTTTTATAGAGTCTCCAAAACCCCGATAGTGCTTTGTGATAGTAGACACTGAAGTTCATGGACTGATTGATTTAAAAAGCAAAAACCTTGCAAGTAGCTTCTGTTTGATAATTTATGAAATTTGACACCTAGGCTGTTTTCTCTAAGTTAATTATAAAATGTTGGGCAAAAGTTGGCCTGTCCATAGATACTTCCCCTCAAAGGACACAACTACTTATTAACACTTATTATGTATAGTTCATCAATGGGTTTTTAATCCCCCAACCATTCTATAATACCAGTTACATTTCATCATATGCCCTAACTTCAGGGGGGCTCCACAGTCACTCCCCTTGGTCTCTGCTCCCCTTGGCCTACTCCCAAGTAGAAGAGGGAATTCTGAAATGGGTTAAGGATAAAAACATTTGCAAGGATATTAGGCCACTGTGCCAAGCAAGGGTGGAGCTTCACTGTGAAGCTGCCTTGCATTTTCGAGGAGCTGCCTTGGTCTCTGGATGCTACTCTTTGTTCCTGTATCTCTCAGACTTACCAGTCCTCCCACAGGGGACTGTCCCAGCCTGCAGAAGGCCACTGAGATCCGTGGGGGATCCAGAGCAGAAGTGGTACAGCATGAGAGGACTTAATTCTGCTATAGGGTTTGAGGTAACCGGTTTTCATATTCTTGTTTCAGGCCCTCCATGCCTCTTTATATCATTGAAGTATAGGACCTCAAAGTTCAAGATTGAATGCTAGGGGAAGGGGGATAAGGGGGCTGTCCAACATGCAAATGAAGGCCTAATGCTAGAGGATAGCCTATGTGGTCCATCCTCATGCTCTAAGAATTTGATCCAACTCCTGGAATGATTAACAGCATTCATTCAGCTCGTGTGCAAATTCTGGTTGACCAGTAAGCTCTGCATTAAGAGGGCAGCTGAGGCCCGTGTCTTGGCTCAGTGGGAAAGAGCACACACGGCTAGAAAGCTACTTGTTCTGGTCTTTATCCTTCTTGAGCCCAGTGTTTTCAAGTGGCTGAAGAATTCTTAAAAATTCTTCCATAAGGTAGATTGTTTAGTGGAACCAAGATCCCCTCAGATCATTCGTAGGGTGGCTCGGTGGACTTACTTGTTGGAGAAGCTGCTTTGCCTTGGTGCTTCCACTTATAGAGAAAACAGTAAAGGGCTCTGGACCTGGGACCCCATGCACCGTGACTCTGTGAGTCTGCAAACATTTTCTTTCTTCCGTATTAAACATCTGTCAAGGAAGAGCACACAGTTTCCCATTCATTCTCATTCTCATGCAATTGCCCGGCTATGTTCAACACAGAAGTGCTAGTTCTTAGTATGTAGTATGTACAAGGACATGTAAATGCAAAAGCAGAGCATCCTTTTATAACCTGACTCATCATTTTGTGGTTGAAGAAGCAATGGTACATCTTCCTTAATAGTCTAGGGAGAAGATGAATTTATTTCCACCAAAATATTAATTTATTTTACAAAACAGTGTCTTTTTCCATCATAATTATGGGACTGACATCTGAAATGTATGTTAGTCCTTACTTATGAACTGACATTCAACAGTGTCTATTGAGTTTCATCTGTGTTTAGGGCGCTGGGCTAGAATTTTGGATAGTAAGATGATACAATATTCCGGCAAGTAAAGCACTTTCCTGAGTTCTGTGAGTCATTCTAGCAAATTACTGAAGCTGAGGAGGGGGTTGTGGGAGCCTCTGGAACTTATAGCTGGTAGGTCAGAAGTACCAGTGACAACCTGGGACTTGTGAGTGGCATCTGAAATGTGGATAGTCTTCCGGGACTGAGCCCTTAACCTGTGGGATCTCATGCTAACTCCAGGTAAATAGTGTCCAAATTGAATTGAAAGGTAAGAAAGCCAGGCGGTGTCACAGAGCTGGAGAAGTAATGTTGGAAAAGGCACCACACATGTGGTGCCTGAAGCGTTGTGAGGAACAATGGTTCACTCATGGGAGTGTGGAATCCTTAGCTCTAATAGGTATTGAGGGCGGCCAACCCAGAATCAGGCAGCAAGCCCAGCCCTGCCTTTCTGAGAGCACCTGACTCGTGCTCGTAGGCACCAGGCAGCCCCGCTCCTGTTTCCTAGTCCTCTGCACACCACAGAGGCAACACCTCCCTCCGCTTTGGCCAAAGCGCTGTTCTCATCCTTGGCCATACCTTGAAGGGGAAAGGAGGCGAACCGAAGAAAACAAGGTCAGGGACTGAGAGAGGAAGCTGACGAAGTGAGGGAAAGAGAAGCAGAGAAGAAAGCGGGGCGATTTACAGGTGGCAGCGGCAGTGGTCAAGCCAGTGCCACTGTGAGCATATAAGGTGACTTTCCAAGGGTTGTTAGGACTATGATAAAGTGTAAGATTGATACAACAGGGATCAGATTATTAAACGTGTTAAGAGGTAATTGATGGACACTCTTTTAATTAATCTTTAAAGAGCAAGCGGAATGGATTAACCAGTTAATTAAAGCAATGTTGCTTGTTCAAGTAAACAACCTTACACTACTGGGGTGAACACTGGTCCCGGAGTTCTCAAACTTCACTGGGCATGAACCTTCCCTGGGGAACTTGTTAAAACACTGATTCTGCAATGGTGGTACTTTTTGTGGCGTTCCTCTCCTGTCCTCAGGAGAGATTCTGCATCTCCCCAGGTACCAGGGTGCCTGTTCCCTGTCACCAGCAGCACCTGGCAGCACATCTCACCCTGCTCGCTTGTGATATCTAACCCCGGGCCACTGAAGAAACCAAGGATTTTCCATGTCTAAATGAAAGTTTCTACAAGTATTGAATGCTTCCTAGCAGGTTTGCTTAATTTGCCTCTTCCCCACATTGTTATTTTTGGCTCACTTCTCTGGCAGGCACTACAATGTACTTATTAAAAGTGCGGGCTTTGGCACCAGATGAACTTGGGGTTTATATCTGTGTGACCGCAGAGGTACTTAGCTTTCGCCTTCCTCATCTGTAAAATGGAGACAATATTAATAGCTCTTTCACGATGTTATCAAGAGGATTAAGTGAATTAGCATACATGTAAAGCACTTACCGAGTGCTGTGTGTTAGCCATTAGTGTTACTATTTCCATAGCTAGCTAATGATCACTTTCCTGGACCACGAGAAAGCCTACCGCCAGCATAGCAATTCCTGCAAATCTGCTGAGTGAAAGAGAACTTAATTACCAAAGAGGCCAGCATGGTCCTGCCAGAGGCACATTCTTCCATCCTTCTGCTGTTTATGAATAAGCTAGAGATTTCCAAGACTTCGTTGTGGAGGCTTCGCAGCTGAAGATGGCGGTACCCTGGAATAATGCAGAATGGGGAGGAGCCTGTTAGCCACGCACTGCAGAGCTCTGCCAGGGGGATGCCCCGGGGGGGGGGGGCGGTGCGGTGTGTGTCCAGAAACGACAGGTGGAAACAAGACCTGATGACGGGCAGTTGGTGACAACAGGCATGCAACCAAGTGATGCCTTGTCACTGGGAAAGTACAGCCCCTGGGGACAGGTTTGGGCCACTTAGTGGTAACTAACTTGTGTCTAGACTTCTAGCCTTCAGAACTGTGAGAAAATATATTTCTGTTGTCGAAGCCACCCAGTCTCAGCCTGAGCTAACTAATCCAGTGACCATGTGCTAGTTGCACAATGGAGATGAGAAACAGGAAAAGAACAAAAGGCAGAAGACTATATACCGTGGAGATCAGAGGTCGGCAGTTTGAGTGTGGCTGTGGGAGGAAGTATGTACTAGAACTTTGATACTCAAAGTAGACCAGCGGGGCCAGTGGCCCTGGGAGCTTGTTAGAAACGCAGAATCTCAGACCCCATTCCGGAACTACAGCATCAGAATCTGCATTTTATTACCAAGAGCCCCAGGTGACTCCCGTGCACACCAAGGTTTGAGAGGAAGTGCAGGGCAGCCTGGACAGGTGTGACAAGCAAAAGTTCCCAGGAGGGCCACAGCAAAGCCAATCCACTAGCCAACAGCTCTGGCCTCTGCTCAGGATTCTCCCTCCTCCCTGCTCTACCTGCAACATCGACCCCAGGCTCCTGACACTGAACTTCCGCCGGGCACTGATTCCAGCCTTGGCCCACTTACCACACCCCGGCCCTCCCTTCTCTCGGTTTCCTCTCCTCACTTCGATCTCTGCTTTAAAAATGCCAGGGGCGCAGTGGGTGCTCTTTGGGAAGGGATGTGAGAGAATGAGAGCCAACATCAGCAGTGGTGGGACAGGCCATACTTCATAAGGAACGTCATCAATACCTCAGGTTTTAGAATAATGTCACAGGAAAATCTCTTCTAAGATATGCTTAAACAGTGCCCACATTTGCATTATTTCTTCCTGCCACTTATTTTAACTTGTTAATGTGAACATTTCAAACATACACAAAAGTAGAGGGAAGAGTCGGGCAGCCATCACTTAGCTACAGTAACTATGCACATTATGGCAATGTTATTCTACCTCGCTTCAAAGCCTTGAGTGGAATGATTCTCTGAGCAGTTACCACCGAGCTGTTGTTTTCTACAACTGCAAAACGAAGAAATATGAGATCTTCAAAGTGAACCCGGAAGAGAAACTGTTCGTTCCACATGGGGTTCAGGGTATTTCGATGGATGGGCTTCGTGCGGAAATGGCAGCTGTCCAGGGGCATTCCCAGGACGTCGACCTCAATACACGGGCTTCCCGTGCTGTTACTCGGGCACACGTTTTGACCAGAGACAATCTGAGGGAGGAAACAAGGATGAAAGTCGCTGAAGGTGAAAAAAGAAACAAAGACAACCTCCACACCTTATCGCTTGCCTCCACAAAGAAACACAAGGAACCCTCTGGAATGGATGAGGTACATGATTAACAAAGCTACTAAAAAAATGATTGTAGTCATGTAATCATATGACTGGAATCATGGGGAAAGCTATTTTTGTCAACAGCATTCTCCTAACTCTCACTTTTTCACTGTCAAAATGTTCAAGTATCTTCAAAAACCAAGCGGTTAAGATGACATTAAGTTTCTCAAGAGGCCAAAGGCGAGGAGGCCCTATGCAATGTAACCACCAATTTGTTACAAATATTCTGTTCAAAATGTTTTAGGGGTATATTTTATAATTTCAAACTCATTTTCTTGAATAGTTTAGTTTTGGAGCAAGTCACAGGGAACGTTGTTAAAAATTAATTCATTGCATTCTGTGAATAGATGAAACTCTACTTGAGTCCAGCTAAAATGGTGAAATAGAAGAGGGGTTACTGCCCTAGTCTTAGGGAGAGAGAAAAGCAGTTGGGTGGTAGGCAAATCTGTGAGTGGGGTTCACCCAGGGGTTTCAGGTGTCACAAGCAGAGGCTGCTTGGCGTTTTTCCTTTGGAAGGAAATGGACGAGTTCTAACAATGGACAGAAGAGATTACTTCATCCTCTTTCCTATCACCCTCCACTAAGAGGGAGCAAACAAATGGGGAAATAAAGTTGAGTGATGAGCTATCAGCTGCTGTTGTTCAGGGCAGCCTGTGGAGTTTTGACATTTAGTGGATTAGGCAATAAAAGGAATAAGGAAAGGCCCATGAATGATAAAGTTTCAACTGTAAGGGGGGAAGAAAGATATTTAATCGTATTAGTATATTGATGACTGTTTGATCTTATAAGAACTTGTTCGAGTTTCAGATGACCTGCTCTAATGAGGAGCTCAACTTGTACTGGAGGCACTCAGGGTGATGATGATGAGGGCCCTGGGAGAGAGCATTACCACTTTCAGTAGGCAGGTGAAGAGGGAGCTCATAACTCCACCTGCTGGGCACTGGCTGATACAGTGCCTGGTGACCGCAAACCTAAACCATAGCCCTGATTTTAAGAGATAAATCCTTTTGGGAACTAAATCTGCACGGAAAAAAAAACCTTGTGACATGAGAACTCTGTCATGCCTTGAATTCAAAAGCAGCTCATGGGCCGGCCGAGTGGCGCGTTGGTTAAGAGCTGTCTTGGGACACCAGCTCTGAGCAGCAGGGCCTCGGTTTGGATCCCACATGAGGGCCAGTGACACTGCGCTCTGCAGCTAAGATGGTGAACAACAGCTCAACCTGGAGCTGGGCTGCCATGAGGCGACAGCGTAGGCTGCAGTGAAGCTGAAGTGGGCTGCCATAAGCTACGTGTGTGGCTGGTAGACAGTGTGAGCGGCCAGCAGCCAGTGTGAGCTGCCAAGAGCCGCCATGAGCAGCCGTTCAGAGGCCGGCAACTGATCTGCCTCACCCGGGAAGAGCGCAATGATAATACCAACATGGGCCAGTGAAGCAACATCCTCCACAACCAGACTGAAGAACAAAAAGGACAGCAACTTGTCTGTTCTCCTTCCCCAGATTCCCCAGCACTGTTCCCCTCCCCCAATACCCCAATAAAATCTTTAAAAAAAAGCAAAAAAAGCAGCTCGTGTTCAGGAAGGCTTCGGCACCTTGCTATCTGGCGACAACAGGGCCACACTTACGGTTAAAGAATAGACGGCAGGCTCCATGTTGTCTAGGTCCCTTTCCAAGGGAGAAAACTTCTGATACATGGGGCAGTTCTTGTCCCACAGCACTGGGGGTTTCAGCACATAACCACAGCCGCCGTTGGCCTCAAACATGGCAGCATTTAAATGTAAAGGGAGGTCTGCAAAACAAAGTCAGTATTGCTTGGTACGGTGTCTAGTGTCACTTCATAGATTTCAAGTTGAAAGGAACTTCGTATCGGTTTTCCCTAAGCTTAAGCATGAGGAAGAGATGGCTGTCCATTCATTCCACAGACCGACTGAGTGGCTACTATGTGCCAGGTTGCGTTAGACATCAGAAACACAGCATAGTACAAGACACAAAATTCCTGTCTACACAGAGCTCTGTCTAAACTCAGTGTTCTCACTCCAACCCAGGTTTTGCCACTTAAAAACTCCTTTTGCAAATAAAAATTTACAACATCCATCCCAAAACAAAGAAAGCCAACCAACCAAAACACACACAACACACACACACACACACACACACACACACACACACCCTTTGAAATACCTCATTTTACACTGAGTATTAGAAAGAAATCGTAATGGAATTTTCTTATTCCCAAACACCGAACCATGCAGATAATTGTATGACCATTTCTTGCTTTTTCAAATATAAGATAAAATCTTAATAATCCAAGAAAACTGGGAGGATAGCCAGAAAAACATATCTTTCCTTGAAATCTCAATTTCAACCCATAAATTACAATACTTACCTCTTTTTTAAAATAGTAAATATGAAAAAAAAATTATCACATGTGATTCACATCATGTTCACAATCCCCTCAAGTATAAACTCTGGGAACCCTCACAAAGGCTTCCAGTTTTTTGTGGCCAGATGGGACTTGGCACAGTTCTTTCATGAACAACTGGATTCCTGCACTGTTTTGGGCTCTTACACACTCAGATACTCATCTGATGGCGCAAGTCTGTATGAAGTTGCCCAAATGAGCGAAAAGTTAATGAGACACACCTGATAAATATTCCCTCTGATAGATTCCTTCCATGTGCTGAGTGAACTTTGCTACATGGACCAACATCAAAGAGAAGTGTGGTAAGCACCACGGAGTAATAAGGAGTTGGCCTCCACTTGTCTCGTGTGTAACATTTTTCCACGTATATGAGGTTGGCTGGGATCATGTGCAGGAATTCTTTGGGTAAGATGCCTTAGATATATGTAAGCTCCTTGGGCTCCAGCCTCCTTATTTATGAAACTAGTGCTATGGGCCCCATCTTTCAGGCCCCTTCCAGTCCCAATGTGACTGATTCGCTGAGGCCCACTGTTGCCTGTAGTAAGAGAAAATTCTCTTCCCAGGCCACTCTGTGACAGAGAAACAGACATGGGCTAGGGTGGCTAAGAGAGTGAAGCCAACTAGCTCACACAGAGTTGGTGAATGTGAAGTGGATATATATTACTAAAAATGTATAGCAGTTCTCACTTAACTGTGCTCTTACTACGTACCATGGGTTATTTATGTACCAATAGCCCATGTGGTAGTCTCATTTCTTTAGATGAAGAAACTGAGATACAAGAAGTAAAAGAACTCAAGGTACACAGTTAGTAAGTGATGGATGCTAGGGTTCGAACCCAGACACCCTGACCTACAGTTTCCAATCTTAACTCCTAAGCCATATAATGTACCTCTCATAAAGGGCTGTCATAAAGATAAATGAGATAATGTGTGAAAGTCCCTCGCCCAGCATGTGGTGTACAGAAGGTCTCCAATAAACAGTAGCTATTAAATTATGATTATGATGTCAACACCCATTTGGATTTGAAGGCTGATTTCATTAGCTCTGAGTCTATTTTTGTAGCTTTCCAAAATTTGAAGGCACTTTTTCTTAACTACAATCTCATTTGGTGATCCAATATGTAAAACAGATCCAAGTGAAGCTGCTCAGTTTGGAATAAAGGTGGGACCTCAAATCTAGCCCTCCTGCTGTGCCCTAGGGGTGGTCCCAGAACTGCATCTGGGGCTACAGTTTTAAACCCCGTTTTAACTAAGTGAAAGGGTGTGCATGAATCTGTGTAACCTGATCACTCCTCTCAGTCAATGCATGTGCTGGCAGACCAGGCTTATATTACCTTTATGGTCTCCTATTTATTTAAAAAACCTGTATTAAGTAGACACCTTCCCTAATAATTATCCCTATATTTGGGGGCCGGAAAAGTCATCATAAAGAGTTTAACAATCGTTCAAGAAAGCATAATAAATACAAGCTTTCTTTTGACTGGGGCTGCCTGTCCACATACTTGTAGGTACTGGGACATGAGGCAGAATTGCTCTGTCCCAGATGGAAAGAACGTTGAGGAACTGTTGCCAGCAATAACCAGGGTTTCATACCAGGCTCAAGTCGGTTTCTAAACTTAAGAGTTGGTTTCATCGAGAGTAGACCTGGGCTATTCCTGGTTCCAGATTGCTGCAGACTTTCTTGTAGTTGATGGAGCCGTTAGAAATCCTGGGAAGGGATGACTCTAAGTCCATGGACACCCCTTTGGGGCATCCAGGGTCCCCTGAAATTCAGGAAGTGGGAAGGCAAGGTGATCATGGAACGTATTTGGAGGCTAGAGGGACACTGGGAGGGGGTTTTCTGTTATTTGGCTGGGATGTTTCATGGAAAATGAAGCACTCCCTAAGATTTCTTTGCAAAATTAAAAAAATAAGGGCCGGCCGAGTGGCGCGATGGTTAAGAACTCGCTTGGGATGCCAGAGGGCCCCGGTTCGGATCCCACATATGAGGGCCAGTGACACTGCCCTCCACAGCTAAGATGCTGAACGACAGCTCAACCTGGAGCTGGGCTGCCGTGAGTCGCCGGCGACGGCGTAGGCTGCACTCCCTGTGGCAGTGGGTTGCCATGGGCTAACGTATGTAGCCAGCAGCCAGCGTGAGCGGCCAGCAGCCACAGTGAGCGGCCGTCCAGAAGCCGGCGACTGATCTGCCTCGCCAGAGAAGAGCACAATGATGGTGCCAACTTGGGCCAGTGAAGCAACATCCTCCACAACTAGATTGAAGAACAAAACGACAGCAACTTGTCTGTTCCCCTTCCCCCAATTCCCCAGCACTGTTCCCATCCCCTCAATTCCCCAATTAAAAAAAAAATCTTTAAAAAAAATTAAAAAATTAAAAAAAATAAAAGTTTGATTACAAAAGAAGCTTAAATCTTAAAAAAATAAAAATAAAAAAATAAAAAAATAATGATTCCAGTGTGGACTCTTATCTGTCTATTTCAGCAGTTCTCAACCTGTGGGTCACAACCCCTTTGGGGGTCGAACAACCCTTTCACAGGGGTCGCCTAAGACCATCGGAAAACAAAAAGATATTTACATTATGATTCATAACAGTAGCAAAATTACAGTTATAGAGTAGCAACGAAAATAATTTTATGGTTGGGGGTCACCACAATATGAGGAACTGTATTAAGGGGTAGCGGCATTAGGAAGGTTGAGAACCGCTGGTCTATTTGGACTTGCAGTCCATATCAAAGTACCTAGAAGAGATCTGGACCAAAAATCAAGAACCACAGGTACAGGTTACAGTGAGGGTGATGAGGACAACTGCTTCAGCTCAGCGCAGAGTGCATTTATTGAGCATCTACTGTGTGCAATGTATTGACCAGGCTCTACCCCACAGTTTGCAGAAATGAAGACCATTTATGCAGATGAACAAGTGGAAGCTACATGTAGCTTGCGCTTGGTCCACATGGGGAGATGTTTAATCATTGCCTGCTGCATTGACTTGAGAGAGGTTTTATGGCAGCGCTCTTCCCTGGGTTAGAAGATTGTGTGGAGAAGCTTGAGGGTGAACCATCAACATCTGCCTCCGCTGAGTGGGGCAGCTCGGACATGCACTCCGGCTTGATTTGGGAGAGAGGCAAAGCCTTTGGGGGTGAGTGAAGGTCAAGCTGCAGCCTCCGTGTGTGCTTCTGGATGGCAGGGTGGCCCAGAGGAGGGCGGTTCCCATGCCCCCTTCACCTGTGGCTCCTTTTACCATCCATGGAGCCAGTGTGTCTGCACCAGCCTTGGCACTTCAGGAGTAAGGGCACATCCAAAACCAAACGCATTTCCACTTCCTTGAGAAAATCATTTTTCTAGTTATTTCAGTTTACTTAAAATATTTCAGTATCATAATAACAAAGGGCGCCAGTGGACATAAGGCTACAGACAGGGCCAGAGATGTGAGCCCACAAGCCTCTTGGGACAGATTGAAAAGAAATTTTTACAGCTTTGAAAATATTTCAGTATTATTTCCACTTGTGAGTCCAAAACATACTGTTTTTATAACTTATCAAAAACACTTAATGATGGTTAACATTTGTGGAATGCTTTCAATGTGCCAGGCACTATGCTAAGTATGGTACTTCACCTGCATTATCTTATTTAATTTCAATTGAAAGAAGCAAGTATTACAAGGGAAAAGAAAAATACATCTGCAGGGTCAGGGACAAATGGGCACTGTTATGCCAGTGCCAGGTGGCTAGCTGGTCCCGGAGCTAAAGGTGTGGTTTGACCTTGGCTGAGACAGGGCTATGCTGTGGTTGATGGGTCAGTACAGTTAGTTAGGATTTGATTCAGTTCACTAGAGAGGAATGAGAAGGCTGCCTGAGTGTTCAAAGCAAAGACTGGTTTTTGAATGAGCTTCGAGGAAACATTCCTCATCTGCTCTTTTTTTAACTTCTGCAGCTCCTTTCCTGCCCCCATAACCAAGTGGAAACAAAATACTTCATCTTCTAAATTCTCGCAGTCCTTGAATTTATTATTATAAATGATTCTGTGACCTTGAGCATATTAATTTCTCTCTGCCTTGGTTTGCTTGTCTGAGGACTGGAGATGATAAAGGTACCCACCACTTAGGGCTGTTGCAAAGATTAAAGGAGATAATAGAGATCAAGAATGTAGCACAGTGCCTGGTGCACAATGAGTGGATAATATATGGTACCTTTTATTCTGGACTTTTAGGCTTCATCAGTTATCCCTGTTATGAGAGTCTTGACGACAGTGGAGAAACACAAACACTACTTTCTCTGTTCATGTCATTCACATACTTGTTTTCTTGGTGTCAGCTACTCTTGGAGCAATGACCATTATTCTCCATTTTGATCTCAAAGGGATGAGAAGAAGCTAAAATAATTTTAACTTGCAATGTGTTTGAAGTGACAACTACTTTTTGACTGCAAAGGAGAATAGCTTAGCAAGACAGCTTACTAAAAGATCTTTAAAGATCTTGCTTAAAGACCTTACCAAAAGATCTTTAAAAAAAAATTGGACACAGCCGTAAACAGTGTCTTGTTTAAAGACACACGAGAGCAATCTTAGGTTTAAAAAGTGCTTAAAAGAGAGGGTAGGAACAGGAGGCTATTAGGGGCCACTTCAACATTCTTTTCTATCACCTTAACTCTGAAACATCAAGGGCACAATTCAATATCAAATTCACTTGTTTTCTGTCATCTGTATTTTTACTCTTACATATGGTATGCCCCAGTCTAGAATCTTGCCCCTTTAAAAAAAAAATGTTATTTGTGGAACTACATTTACTGAAATATAAGATGCAAAGGAGAAAGGTGAGGAGGCACCCTTGTGGGTGCAGTAGGCCCATTACCATCTGTCTGGTAGTTGAGTGCCACGAGCTGTATCCCGTGCAGCCAGAACATGAGGGGGTTGGGGTTGGATGAGTCGATGCGAGTGGCAGCTGGGTAAGTCCTCAGCAGCTGACAGGCGGTGTGTTGGATCAGTTTCTGAGAATACCTGCGACACAGACGTTTGGCGGCATTTTCATTCAGTGATGAGATATGGTAACATTTGGGAGTTCTAATGATAGCGCTCAGGGACGTGGTTGGGCTGAGGGGGGAAGAAGATTCCTCCCAGGCCTGTCGCATTCCTTCAAAGGAACCTAAACCCCCCCAAAAGATTAGCCTCAGGTTAGTGCAAAAAACTTTCAGTATTTTAGAAAGATAAACCTGAACAACATCCTAGTAAACAATTATAACCACATAGCACATCGGAATAGATCTTGAGTGTGACTTGCGCGTTAGCCTACCACCTTGAAACAAAATGAGAGCGACTGAGTTTTAAAATGAGTGTAGAAACACCCGTTTAAATTAAAAGCCTGACAGTCCTTTGCCTCAGAACCTCATCTGTCCTCATGTGTACAAATACACAACATATGTACCAGGGTGTTCAGGCTAGCATTGCTTTTTTATAGCAAAAAAAAAAAAAAGAAAAGAAAAGAAACAAAGAAAGCAACAACAACAAAGAAAACCCAGGGAGCAACCCAAATGTTCTACCAGGGAGGAAATAGTTACATAAATGAGAGTATACCTATGCAATGGAATACCACAGAGGCATTAGTGAGAATAAAGTAGACACATGTTCAGAAAGCTATGTGAAAAGTTATAGCAATATAAAAGTTATACAAGTATGTTCAGTTATACCCCATTTGGATCCTCTTAAAAAGGATCTTATTTTTCTTGAACAAAACACCATAAACTTAACAGTGGTTACCTCTGGGGAGTAGAGCTGGGCCATTGAGAGTGGAAAGGAATTTTAATAATACCCTGTATTGTTTGAGTTTTTAACTATGAGAATTTATTACTTTTATCATAAAAAGTAATTAGAAATAAAATGGATATATCTTCTGGAGTTATAATGGTGAAGAGAGCAGTTCCAAGAACCACTAGAATGTTCCAAGGTGGTTCCAATTTCTTTCTTTTGAGGCAAACACTGTTAGAACATCTTCAGCGAAATACTGTGTTTTAGGAAGTTAAAAATGTAAATTCATAATTTAAAAATACTGATACCACACTTGGAGAATATAAACATTCATGAAAATAAAAAAATTGAAAAAGTCCAAGGGAAGTGCTTAGACAGTAAAATATCAGAAACATCCAGCATGCAGAGTCAAGCTAAGATATTGTAAGAAGGTGACTTTACTTTTTCCAGATGTTTTGTTAAATGATCCTGTCTCCCCAGGGCTCATTCTGCCCGGATTGTTGCCAAAAATGGACTTCCTGCTTTTCCTCTCTTTTCCTCTGCTAGAGCCAGATGCATTTAGAGTTGACAGGCCTGTTCCCATAAAATGAAAATAAATAAGCCAAAAACTACAAGCAAGGGAACTCAACATTTTCCATCCCCGTTAATGTTTATTTTGAAGTCCTACTAGTCCCTTGTAACCCAGTACAGAAGACCTACTAGCATTTTTAGCACTGTTAATAATAGTGCTGTAGGCAATTATAGCAAAGCTTTTATCTCTGTAGGCAAACGTGACAAGAACTGAATGATTATTACACAATGACCACAAAAATCACCCCCCCGCCCAACTTCATTGTGCAACAGAAAGATTTTGAAAAATTGCATGAAAAGAAAGTGCTCCTGTCAGTTATGTAATTATCAGGATCTAATGACCCAATTTGGAGAGATGAAAGAGTGGCTAAGAGCCTTGAGTTTTAGCATCATATCGTCTAGGTTCAATTCCTGCCAGTATGAACTTTGACTTAACGTCTGCTTTCTCTGTTCTTCTGTTTCCTTATCTACACAATGGGCATAATAATAAGAGCTGACAGGGTTGGTCCGAGGATTAAATGGGAAATATGTGATGGTGATAATGATGTTCACGGCTCTCTTTCTCACTCCTGGTCTAACCACTTCCTGGATCCTTCCTGCCTGGCACAGTGCCTGGTGCACGGCAGCAACTTAATAGATATTTGCTGAATGAGGAAATGAACGCATACCATGCAGATCCAGATCCAGGGCAGGGAGAGTGACTTAAAGGCACCAAGGAGGCCAGAGGTGCCTCCAAACTATTTCCACCGTCTGCAATTGTACCATTAAAGAGTAATTCCTTCAGCTGAAGCAGCATTCAGGAGGTCCTCTCTGAGATGAAAATACACTTTCCAAGAACATCATCAGAGAAGACAGGATAGAGTAGTGTTTAATAACAGTGTCGACTTAGGTGTTTAAACCCAGTTCCTAGTGATGCGGCCCCACACAAGTTATTTAACCTCTCTGCACCATTCCTTCCTCATCTGCGAAAGGGCCGTGGTTAGGATTAAAGGAGATCATGTACATATACATCCTTAGTTGAGTGTGTTGTTCAGAGAAAGCACTCAATTCATAGCAGCTGTGGGACTTCTAAATGTCCCCCCCGCTGATGTATCTGTAACTGCAAAGATGCACAAACTTGGACTCGTGAGTTCCCATGCTTCATTTGAAAATTTTGTGTGAATTTTGCCCGCTACGCGATGATGCAACTGAGTTTTCTCCCAGGTAAAACTGATGAGGGGCCAGAATGAGGTACTGTGTTCATTTGGGGGCTTTTGCACATATCCTGGCCCATGATGACAGCCCCCAGGGTTATGTGGGCCCTTCTGTGAAGAGCCTGGTTGTTCTCTTGGGGTGGGGTGAGGAAGCAAGAACAAGGGCTGGGTGATCAAGAAAGGGGAGGGATCTGGAGAGGCCAGAGAAGTAACTGAAGGAGCAACAAAGGACCTTTATCAGCCCTGCTGGCCCATTTACCAATAATAATGGCAACAATCACCATTTCCAGCGAGCCAGCTATTTTGCAGACAGTGTGCTAATCACAGTGTATACCTTAGTGCTAATTTTTACAGCAACCCTACAATTTCAGGCTGTTATGTCTCCTTCACAGATAAGGAATCTGAAGTGCAGGGAAGTCATATAACTGTCCTAGTCAAGGTCACCGAGGAGTCGGGTCCTGCCACTGAAGCGGGTTGTGATCTCGGGAAGTTACTTTACTTCTGGGGAAGGTCGTAGCACATAATCGTCACTCACCGCTCTAAAGATTTTTTTTTTTTTTTGCATATAGCTCCTTGGAAGGGACTTGGGATGGTGAAGGGTGAGATGCATTGAAATGGATAATGTAGCAAAATTAAAATCACTAGTGTAGCAAAATGAATTATTTTATGGTATTTTTCCTCATGAGCATCAGAAGAAATCATAATCACAATAAATATTTAGAAGGTATTATAACAATGATTCTGGCAACACAATCTAGTTATTTTGAGAAAGGAAATAAATTTGGGGAAAGAAAAATGTATGAAACTTCAATTAGTAAAAAGAAATTAAAATATAATATACCGATAAAGTATGTATGCTATATAAATACTTCTGAAAATACAGCATACTTAGGAATTTAAAAATAAGCCAAACAGTCCCATGCTTAGCCTGTGCCTCAAGTCGGAAGCTGCACTAAATGACCTTTGATTCTTCCACAATTCTCTACTGGGACAGGAACTTTATCTTTCACAGCAACTTCAAATATCTCTGGGAATTTGTGATCTTTATTTAATAATCAGTGCTTGAGAAGAAAAGACGAAGCCCGCAGAATGGTTTGGATGTAGTGTCAGCTGAATTTATAAAGCAAAAGAGATGTAGTGAATGTGACTCTTAAATGAAGTGGCCCTCAAACTGGTTCCCGTGATAAAGGACATGCAGGCCACAAAGCTCTTTGACAGGACAAGGACTTTATCTCATTGTAAGAACAATTTCACCAGCAGCAAATATGATCATATTGTACTTATGTGACAGAAAGTCATGAGCTGTGAAACTGAACCTAAATGGCTAGATTTCTGCATTTCTTTAAAATGCTTGTCACGTATTCATTCATGTCCTCCTCAATAGAATTTGCTAGCGGATAAGCAGTAGCAGCTGCTAAAAATTCCGAACAGTTTATGGGAGAAAGCTTAACATTGAGAAAGTTCCATCTATGATTTGTTTCCCCTCTCTGGCGTGTTAAAAGACCACTATTACCTAATTTTTAAATAGCCAAGTACCTCTGTGTCCCATTTTCAGGGCAGAGCGTGAGAACTGGTGCTTAGGATAAATCTCTGGAAGCCAGGCTCTGTGTTCAGACCCTTCTGAGAACAATGAGGGTTGGCATTTTAACTCCCTCTCCAGGCCAAGTTTATGTACTCCGTTTACTAACATTTAGACAATCCCCCAATTCCGGCTGTTTTTCTGTCCTCAGGCATCTTGCGCAAGGGAATCCGTTTTCTTAGTATAAGGAGATGCATTTTTCTGACTTCCATATATTTATGAACTTTCTTGCTTGCCCTCCACCTCCCTACTGCCCCATTTGTGGGACACAGAATTGGGTGAGCTCACTGCTGGCAACCCCTAACAAGACAGGCAGTGTAGTGCAGTGGAGATGGACCAGCTTCACGATCATAGTTCTACCTTTTATTAACTGAAATGCATATTTTTTTGGGGGGGAAGTGGTTTATCAGCATAAGTTCACTGTACTTCTAGAAATGGCCAGTTGAGAAAACCTTTTCTCCCACTGAAACCGCCTCCTTGGTCTTTGTGGTATGGGTGGAGTCTCGCTACCCAGCTCAGGGATGGGACATGGGACAGGTCCTAGACTGTCAGAGCACTGCATGACTTTGGTCACAGTGATTGGTTCAGGAAAGGACCCAATGAAAAGTTCTGGAAGAGACTCTTACACTGGACTGATTGTGGAAACATGTAGTGCCAGCCTGCTGCAGCTGCCTTGCAATCACAAAGGGAACAGGGACAACGCAGTGGACGCAGAGGGAGGAATGGGGAGTGAGAAAGACCTGGATCAAGCTGTACCTGAAGCTGTATCCCTTTATTTTTCAATACATGAGCCAATAAATTTCCTCTTTGCTTAAGTCAATTTCTGCCACTTTCCAACAAAAGAGTCTTAACTGATACACTCTGAAACCTCGGGCCAATTACTTCATCTCTCTCAGACTTTATTTAAAAATAGGGATACATCCACTACCTCATAGAATTATTATGAAGTCAATAAGAGGATGTATGTAAAATATTTACACAAATCTTAGTACTTAAATGCTTAATAAATTTTAGCTATTATATTTTATGAATATAATTATCATTATTATTAATTATTACAAAAAGACATACTATGATCTGGAAAAGAAACATTGTATGGTATTTTCCTCATGAACATCAAAGCAAATATAATAATAAATAAATAAATAAATAAATAATTAGGAGGAATTATAGCTGATTTTGGCAATACAATTTAGTTATTTTGAGAGTATTCACAATGTACAATGAAATAAATAGCATATTTTTAACTTTTCGTATCTTTAAATGTTGTAGACGATATTGCCTACTCTTACCTGGAAATTTTACTGCTTGGCAGTAGATGACAAGGTCAGAAAGCTCTGGTGCAATCTGTCTGCTTTCCTTTTTATTCTGAGGAAGATAAAATTCTTCTCCCAGTTCCATGTCATAAACCTATCAAGGAAAACAAATGATACCAGTTGACATGGAAGGTATATGCCACCCAAAGCTCTTTATCTGTTCCTTTCTCACGTCACCAGTGTGTTTCGTCTTGCTCTATATTTATCCCTATGTCCTAACATCTTTGCTAGAGTAAAAGCTTTCTGAGAGTAAGAGATAAATCATGGGGCATAGTCCAGTGTCGTAAATGTGGAACAGTCAATGAACATTTGTTGAATAAATAGATAATTGAGTATGT